CCAAATCCCACCATTCTCTACCCAACCACCCCCAGTCCCCACCAATTTCTACCCAACCACCCCAAGCCCCACTATTTTCTACCTAACCACCCCCAAAACCCCACCATTCTCTACCCAACCACCCCCAATCCCTGCCAATTTCTACCCAACGATCCCAAATCCCACTATTTTCTACCCAACCACCCCCAAATCCCACTATTTTCTACCCAACCGCCCCAAACCCCTCCATTTTCCACCCAAACCCACTGCCCTCCCCTTCCAGAACGGCGACGGCTTCGTGGACACGGACGCCAAACTGCAGCGCATTGTGGCGGCCATCCAAGCCGCCCTCCCGTAGGCCCCACATCGCCCCACATCCAACGGGGCCGTGGGGGCCCACGCTGACCCCCCCAGCACCGCCTGGCTCTGCCGGCACAGCGCTCCATGACGGGAGCAGCCAAAAAGCCCACGGGCACAGGGCTGCTTCCAGAACCCGCGCGTGGCACCGGAGCCAGAGCTCATCTTCCAACCTGGTGGGGGTCCGCTTTACGTCATCGACGCTTCGCTCCGTGTCGTCCAGGTTGGGTTTTATGTTGTCCAGGTTGGGTTTATGTCATCCAGGTTGGGTTTCATGTCATGCAAGTTCAGGTTTATGTCGTCCAGGTTGGGTTTTATGTCGTCCAGGTTGGGTTTTATGTCGTCCAGGTTGGGTTTTGTGTCGTCCAAGCTCAGTTTTATGTCATCCAGGTCAGGTTTTATGTCATTCAGGTTGCATTTATGTCATCCAAGTTCAGTTTTATCTCATCCAGGTTGGGTTCTGTGTCATCCAAGTTCAGGTTTATGTCATCCAGGTTGGGTTTTATGTCATCCAGGTTGGGTTTATGTCATCCAGGTTGGGTTTCATGTCATGCAAGTTCAGGTTTTGTGTCGTCCAGGTTGGGTTTTGTGTCGTCCAGGTCGGGTTTTATGTCATTCAGGTTGCATTTATGTCATCCAAGTTCAGTTTTATCTCATCCAGGTTGGGTTCTGTGTCATCCAAGTTCAGTTTTATGTCATCCAGGTCGGGTTTTATGTCATTCAGGTTGCATTTATGTCATCCAAGTTCAGTTTTATCTCATCCAGGTTGGGTTTTATGTCATCCAAGTAAAGTTTTATCTCATCCAGATTCAGTTTTATGTCATTCAGGTTGGCCTTATGTCATCCAGGCTCTGCTTTATGTCACCCAGGTTTCATTTTGCACCGTCCAGGTTTGGCACACGCTGTCCATGTTTGAATTTATGACACAGAGGTTTCGTTTGACGCCTTCGACGCTTCGTTTGACGCCAGTGATGTTTCATTTGATGCCATTGACGTTTCGTTTGACGCCATCGACGTTCTGCTTTATGCCCACATCGTTCACCGACTGCTGCTCCTCTCCTGGGTTGAGCTGTTCTGCCATTATAGCACCACTCGGTGACGTTTCTCAATAAAGGAACTTTGGGCTGCCTCATTTCCCTTTGCTCTGCATTTTCATCCCCTTTGCGTTTCTATCTCCTTTGCGCTGCGTTTTTATTCCCTTTTTGGTTCAGTTTCCCCATTGGTTTTGCTCTTTTCCCCCTTTGCTTTGGGTTTCCCCTTCAGCGTGGCGTCGCTCTGAGCAGATCCCCACAGACCCCTGCCCTCACACACCCCATTCTGGGGGTCTCGCTGAGGAACCCACCTCAGAACAGCACAAATTGGGAACATTTCCGTGTCACTGCAGCAGACGTGTGCCCTCTGGTGACTGCAGCAAGCAGAGCTCTGCGTGTCGCTGCCTTTTCCCTCAGGGTGACGCCTGAAATTCCAATCAGAATTCACATTTTCCGCTGTTCTCCTCCCAGGGGTGCAGCTCTGAGCTGGTGGGTGGAGATGTCACTGAGTCACTGGGAGGCGGATGATTTCTCAGGCTGTAGGGGTGGAAAAGAAATGGGTTTATGAGCACAACGTTCCCTTAAGCAACAAAACAAACACGGTTTGTGCATTCACCAGTGCCTGAAATGTGGCAGGGAAGGACGAGGGGAGGAACCCAGAAGGCGTTCAGTCAGAACCCAACAGACAGGTGGGGCTGGGAAGGAAGCCCAGCCTTCACTGTATCCACTTCTGGGCACAGAGATGCAGAGTTTGGGACTTCTGCCTCACAGCGTTCAGATGAGATGAGAACCACGGTTGGCCCCAGTGCTGGGGGGGGGGCAGCCGCCCATGGGAGGAGTGGGCTCAGGGAGGCCCTTCCAGCCCAGCCACGGCCTTTAAGGCCCACTCCACCCTGGGACGCGTTCCCTCCAGTCCCAAAGTTCGGCCCTTCCTCCCACCCCGGGGCCGCCCAAACCTCGGCCCCCAAAGGCCCTTCGCGCATCACCACCACGACTCCAAGATGGCGCCGAGGCCGCCTCACCTCAGCCGACCCCGCCCCTCCCCCTCCACCCCCCCCCCGCCGCGGTGCACGCCGGGAACGGGGCCGCCATTTTGTGTCAGGGCTGGCGGGAAAGGCGGGAAAGAAGGCAGCGGGCAGGCGGCGGGCAGGCACCGAGCGCAGCCCCAGCGCGGCCGCCGCCGCGCACCCCACGCCTCTCAGCGGCCTCGAACGCAGGTAAAGGCGGTGCGGGGCCGGCGGCGGTGTCCGGGACCGCTCTCGGGGCCGCTCCCGGTGCGCGGGGGCATTGGGGGGGTGGGGGGGAGCCGAGGTCGCCTGAGGAGAAGCTGCCCTAAGTCCCGCCTTCCGTGTGTACCGGCTACTGATTGGTTGCGGGGAGCGGGGGCGCCGATTGGCTCCCGCCACGCGGAGCGGCGCGAGGTGATAGGTCGAGGGGCGTGCCAGTCGTTGAGGCGCGGGTGATTGGCTCCCGCAGCGCGGCGCTGCGGGAGAGGATAGGCGGATGGGAGTGTCAATCTGCGGGGAGAGCGGGCGGTGCGGCCCCACTTCTGGCGGCTTACAAACGGATTGGCCGCGCATCGGCAGCCAACCAGCGAGGCGTTGCGCGGGCACGTGGCCCCGCGCGGCCAATCAGCGCTCAGCGCGGTGAAAAAAAATTGCTGAGGCGCGAAGACCTCTGGGAGTTGTAGTCCAACGCGCTGAGGGAACGGTGCGGCCTAAGCATGGCGGCGAGGCCCGACGCCCCGCGGCGCTGTGCTCGGGTTTTAACGGCCTTCTCTTGTCCCGCAGCCCCTGAGGAGCGGGCAGCATGGCCCGCACCAAGCAGACGGCCCGTAAGTCCACGGGCGGTAAAGCGCCGCGCAAGCAGCTGGCCACCAAGGCGGCCCGCAAGAGCGCCCCGTCCACCGGCGGCGTCAAGAAGCCGCACCGATACCGGTACCGATCGGGGGGGGAGGGGAGGCTGACCTAAACACGAATTGCTGGTGGGGTCGGTTCCACTC